GGCCCCTCCTGGAGCGCCACCTGGGGCCGGGCGGGCAGGTACCCGGCCAGTGACCTCGCCCCGGGTCTCCAGGCGCACTCTCCAGCCGTCGCGCCTCGGGTGAGTGCGGGGGAGCGAGGGTGCAGGGCCCCCCGCGTGCTCGCCGCCGCCCTCGCCCCGGGATCCCGGTGCTCAAGGCCGCCGCGCCGCGTCCCGCGCGGACGCTGGGCTCGGACACGTCGGGGGCGGGAGCAGTTTCCTCGGGTGCTCCGTGGCTGCGGGTTCTCTTCTGCTTGCCGGACCCAGAGGCGGAGCCGCGGGCGCGCCAGCCTACCTGCTTCCGCACGGGGCTCCGCGCAGCCCTGGCCACCGGTGCGCAGAGCGTGGCGGGGCTGGGGGGATGGCCATACCCGCATCCTGACACCCACACCCCGTTACCAGGGGAGATGGTTGTCAACAGCGTCCAACAGGCGGTGTTCTCGAAGGAGGCGCACACTACTCTCCACTGCTTCTGGACACACAGGTGTGTGTATACACCGACACATGCACGTGTCCACTCGTTGGGGCTGGCTTCGCATCCCGGATTCCGGCCTCGCCCGCTGCGTTGGGCGCACTGAGATTAAGCGGCGGGGCTCTGCCGACTGTGCTGGGGCGCCCGTGTCCGGCTGGCTCCCCCACCAGCCTGGCTGGCTTGAAATCCCTTTAGATAACCAGGGGCTGCCCTCGGAACCCAGAGGATGAAGCTCATTTTCTTACCTGCGCAGGTGGCCTCGGGAGGTGGCTGCAGGGCTGCATTCCAGAGTCGACCAAACACACCTGGTCTTGGGAGGAGCGCTGAGGAGGAGGAAACGCGCCTGCTTCTGCCACGCTTGTGCAAGCCATTTGGGTAAGCCACAGTTTATATCAGCTGCCGAAGGTCACCCATCCCAGGAGCTGCAGAGAACCGCGAGGAGCGCTGGGCTCTCAGCATTGGCGCTTGCTTTGGGCGAACGGCTTAGCCTGCGCTGACACGGAAATGCCCACGTATATATATATATTACATGTACTAACCGACGGGCTCACACGGGCGTTCCTGCGGAGTGGCCGCAGAACAGTTATTACAGGCGTTGAGAATCGCCGGTGGCATTGGCGCTTGCTTTGGGCGAACGGCTTAGCCTGCGCTGACACGGAAATGCCCACGTATATATATATATATTACATGTACTAACCGACGGGCTCACACGGGCGTTCCTGCGGAGTGGCCGCAGAACAGTTATTACAGGCGTTGAGAATCGCCGGTGGGGTTCGGCCTGGCTACTACGATAATCACAGGAACAGGAAACGTGCTTTAGAAACAACATAAGAGATACCCAGTACAAAGGGGAACCTTGGCTGGATCCTGATTTGAGCAAAGAACTGTTTTATAAGGGAAACGGATATTTGTACTCATTATTTGGAATGAAGGATTTACGTTTTGTTTACTTAACCTTTGGTAATGGTGTCATAATCACGATTTTTTAAAACTCTTTATCTTTTACAAATACAGACTGAAGTTGAAGTCACGGTTGGAGATTTACTTAGACCACCCAGTTCTGGGAACGGCTTCAAGCAGAGACGGGTGGGGGGCCCAAGACAGAGGAGGCCATGGTGAGTCCTCACAGTGGGGTGGATGATGGCTATAGAAACCCCTACTCTCTTTTCCCGTGTGTTATTGTCATGTCCCCTAAAAGTAGCCCCCCTGTGGGATTTTGTCTTTGCAGTAGGGAAATTTGGCTTGGCCGGTGGTTCTAGATCCCCCCCCCCAAGGCTGTATATCTGTAAATTAGGCATCAAGGCTTCCCCAGACCCTTTCTCCCTCCTGGGGGTGCCCACTTATTTTGCTGCTTTTAAGCGGAGAGGCATGTGGCCTTTGCTGAGCATGACAAAGCCGAGGGATCCAGCCCATGCTGGCTCAGCTTTTTCTCTACAAAGGGCATTAGCAAGCCTGGGGTTGAGTTGCCTCCAGTATGGCGGGTTGTATGATGTTAGCAGCTTTTCCAAATTGCCCAAACCCCTTTCAAATTATGCTCACCAAAAAATAGAGTTGCACGTACCCACGTACACTTCTGGAGGCACTGTCCGTCCGCGAAAGGTTTGCAGGAGAGACAAGGCCCAGCTCAGGGCAGACCTCCTTAGTATTCGGAAGAGATCCTATCTCTGTTGTGGCTGTGTTCAGAGCTTCACCTCATTTGCCTGGAGACCGAGGCATGTAAATATTTAGCAAAAGACTGAGTCCTGAAATTCTGTGGGGCATTAACCCCATTCCTTTCTTTTTCAAGAACCCTGCCAAGGTGGAGGATGGCAGGGGGTAAAATTTCTTTTAAAAGAATTATTTTACTTAACTTTATGTATGTATGTATGTTTGTATGTTGATTTTGACCAGAGACAGAGAGAGAGAGAGAGAAAGCAAGCTGCCAGGTCCAGGACATGAACCACAGTTGGCCCTGTGAGAGTCCAGCGCCCCTAACCACCACTCCACCTGCCAGCCCCTAGGGGGTAATATCTTTCTGTACATCTGAGTTGCTCATTCTTTTCTCCTCTGGATTTATTTTATAATTCTTACTCTGTCATGCCAATTCGAAATTTAGAAAGGTGGTGATCCTGAGCGGGAGCGAGTGAGGTTCAACAGAGGCAGGCAAGGGGCTATGTCCTTGCAGGACAGACATTTTTTTGGAGTTGTCGGAAAAGTCTTGGTGTATTTTTTCTGTTTTTCTATGCAAAAAAATGCGTCATGGCTTTTCAGCCACCCAATAGTAAATGCGTCACCCCTGAATGTAATGCCCGTTTGATTCAGAGTGGACAAGCTAAATACATGGTATCTGTGACAGTTAAAAGTTGAAGTGTGGGGACCAGCAGTTGGCATAATGGCTATGTCGCTGGACTCCCATGTAGTCAACCACAGTTTGAGTCCTGGACCCAGTGGCTTAAACTCACGCCGGGTGCATGTGTGCGTGACCAAGATCCCAAGGAGAATGGAGAAGAGATTGTGGCGTAGACATCCCCCCTGGGGGGTGATTTCTCGCTTTCTGTCTCTCTGTCTTTCTGGCGACCATACGCACCCTGTAGCACAAACCTCTCCAGAAAGAAAAAAAAATGTTTTAGTGTGGGGAACAGCAGATGGCGTAATGGTTATGTCACTGGACTTCCACATAGTCAACCACGGTTTAAGTCCTGGGCCCGGCGGCTTGAAACAAATGCAAGGGAGTGTGCATGTGTGCCCAAAATCCCAAGAGGAGAATGGAGGAGAAGGGATTATGGCATGGCCATCCTCCATTGGGAGTGATTTCTCCCTTTCTTTCCCTGTCTCTCTCCTCCCTCCAGCGAGTACATGCGCCCTATAGGAAAAAATGTCTCTCTCTAAAAAAAGGTGGAGTGTTAGGGCCAGCAGGTGGCATGGAGATTAAAGTGCTGGACCCACGTGGCCCACAGCGCAGTTCGAGTCCCAACCTAGCAGTCTGAAAGCCACACAGGACACATGTGCATGCCTAGAATTCTGAGAGGAGGACCAACAAAAACCTCCTCGCAGCTGGAGAGTAAGTGAATTCACAGTGGTCCCCAGTGGAATTGCTCGACGTGTGATTAATTTTTGTATGAATGAAAGGCATGTGCAGTGTGCAACTGTTAAGTGACTTTACTTTCTACCTCAGATTCTTGTGGCGTCCTCAAACTGTGGCCTCAAAAGAGAAAGAAACTTGTCGGGCCCAGGAGTGACCGTAACCCCATGTTTACTGTCCTCCGTAGGAGGAGGGTGGGAGAGTTCTGGAGAGCTTTCTGCCAGTAGTCATGTTAAGGACTCACTACAGGTGTGACACCATCTTTTCCCCGTTTCACAGCGCGGGAGAGGGACGTGGAGAAAAGCAGTTGGCACAGGTTGGCGAGGCAGCGAGGCAGGGTGGTGGCCATCCTGGCAGCTGCGCCCTTCGTCTCCAAGCGTGTTTCCATTTCCGTGCCTCATCCTGGCCTGTGAGTGGAGCAGTGACCCTGACGGAGGGCCATGTGCTTTTAATGGATGACGACGCTGAGACCCAGAAGCTCAGACTTGCCTTAGGTCATTTTGCAGGGGCTGGGCCGAAATGAGCTTAGCACCCTAAGAGCAGCCGTCTGCACATGGGCGATTGTAACCCCCGCAAGCCCGAGCCGGGTATGACCAGCCCATTTTGCAGATGAGGTGGTGCATCAGAGAGGTTCAGGTTTCCCCGCCGTCTTGCGGCTGGTCTGAGTAGAGCCAAGATGCAAACTCGAGCTGTGGACTTGGGAATCTGTGCGACTCTCAGCCCCTGCTGACAGGCGGGGAGTGTGGGCCACGCGCTGCCCACACACGTCCTCTCAAGCCAGCACAGGTGACGGTGACGGTCACGATTGTGGAGAGGCTTTTGCTGTAGGGCACATGCACTTGCCAGAAAGACAGAGACAGAGAGACAGAAAGCGAGAAATCACCCCCCAGGGGGGATGGCCACGCCGCAATCTCTTCCCTTCCATTCTTCTCTCGGGATCTTGGGCACGCACGCACACGCGCCGGCGTGAGTTTAAGCCACCGGGTCCAGGACTCGAACTGCTGTCGACTACATGGGAGTCCAGTGACATAGCCATTATGCCAACTGTTGGTCCCCAGCATAGATTATTTTTTAAAACTTTTTTAAAAAGCAAAAGCAGGGGCCAGCAGGTTGTGTGGTAATTAAGGGTGCTGGACACTCTCGTGGCTGACTATGGTTCAAGTCCTGGACCTGGCAGCTTGCTTTCTCACTTTCTCTCTCTCTCTCACTCTGCCCCTCTCTGGTTAAATTGAAATAAATAAATAAAGATAAATAATTCTTTTTTTTTTTTTTTTTTAAAGCCAAGGTTGAGAAATGGAAGATTTCAAATATTCTGGCCCCTGAGAATAACCCTAACCGTTTTTTTTTTTTTTTTTGGCACAGGGCATGTGCACTCGCCAGAGAAAGACAGAGCCAGTGAGAAATCACCTCCCGGGGGAATGGCCATGCTGCAATCCCTTCTCTATCTTTCTGGGATTTGGGGCACACATCCATACATGCCCAGCATGATTTTTTTTTTTAAAGAATTAGTCATTTAATTGGATTTCTTATTCTTCTGCAGTTTGACCAGAGAGAGAGTGAGAAAGCAAGCCTGGGACTCAAACCATAGTCAGCCATGTGGGAGTCCAGTGCCTTCACCACCATCCCGCCCTGCCCAGCAATGTTTAGCCACTAGGTCCAGGACTCGAACTGTGGTTGGCCACGTGGGAGTCCAGTGTCATATCTACTCTACCACCTGCTGGTCCCAGAGCAGCCTCCTCTTTACGGAAGGGTAGCACCTTCCAGTTCCCCTGTGTCCACCACTCCCCAAAGTGGCCCCGTCCTTGAGGCGGGAGCACTGCCCTGGCATTTTGTCTATCTTCCACGGAGAGACCTTTCTCTATGCGTTTCCAAAATGGAGTAACGGAAGACAGTCTGGAGACTTGTCCAAGAAAGGTGGGGAAGAGTAAATTCCTCCCAGGAAAGGGAGTGCTTACTCTGCAGGGCCGCGACGTCGGGGTGCAGGCTACACTGCCATTTTTCTGACGCCTTGCCTGCTTTCCTCTCAGACCTTGAGAACTTGCTGCCCCGTAGGACAGCACGAATCGAGTCCGTGTGCAGGCAGGCCTCTGAGGGAAAAGGAGGACCTCCCAAATCCCACTCCGTTCGCTCTTTGTGAGTGCACCCTGCTATTGCCCAGGCTGTCCTGTGGGGTGGGGCACCGAGAGGCCCTCCCTCGCTGGGCAGCCAGGCCCGGCTCCAGACAGGTCCTGGGGTTGTGCAGTAGCTCTCTAGCCACCCTGAGCTGGACCCTGGCCACCCTGAAGGGTTCCCGGGACATGTGAAGGTCCCCTGCTCCTTCACTGTCCACCCCTTCCCTCGCTGGTGACAAGTCTGCCCTGCACGCTGCATGGTCGGGCCCTTCAGAAAGCTCTGCAGGGCGAGGAAATGGTGCCCACACGGGTCCAGCCAGAGCTTCTGTGATGCAAGACTGGGGTGGCTTCATGTCCTCATCTTGAAACTTTCAGTCAGGGTCCTGTGCTGGCCGCTGTCCGTCTGTCTGGAGTTGCATTACAGTCATTTCCTCCTTGGTGTTCTTGGACCTTTGTGTGCATGGGGTGGGGGTGGACAGAGGAGATACTGCGCAAATGACCCTCGGGTGCCGTTTTGGGGTCGTCGAGAACAGTCAGGCTAGGTATGTGTGTCTCAGGAAAAAAATATAGCTAACAAGGCTGGGGCTGGGGACACAACGTGGAGACGGAGGTGTCGTCACTGCAGACTGTCCTGGCGAGTGGGTCCTCTCTGAGCCCGGGGTCGGGTTTGTGGGTCGCTCCTCCAGGTGATTATTAACTCCCACGTCAAGAGAAAGTGAGCTGATTGATTATTAACCAGAGCAAACAGGTGAGGCAAAGCTACCCGAGTGTGGACACGGCCCGCCCGCCAGGCTTAGTTCTGATCCTGCAGCCCGGCTGTATGCCTGCCTCCTGCAGTCCCCCAGTGTGACCTGTGGGGCTGTCTTCTGAAGTTTCACTTTCCGGGGGGAGGGGGGAATGTCCCCGGCGTGTCAGACCTGAAGTTTCATTTTCCGGGGGGGGA